ACAAATCTCAGCTCAAAGGTCACCACTGTGCAAACATTTCCAGGCCCCCAGGCTTGTTGCTTTTCTCTTGTCCTCTTGTCTTTTCAAAAACGGCTGAACCTGGTAGCCTGGTGGCGCTGTGGGTTAGGCATTGGGCTACTCACCCCAAGGCTGATGCTTCAGATGCAATCGCCTTGATTTGGAAGATGAGGCTGTCTGCTCCCACGAAGACATCCACTCTTGGAAACCCTATGTAGCATCGCTCAGAATTGGAGTGAACGCCACATGTTGGGTTGGGGCCACTTTGTACTTAGGAAGAAGCCCTGGTGGTACAGTGGTCAAAGCGCTTGGCTGCTGACCTAAAGGTTTGGGGTTCAACTCTACCCAGAGGCTTCTCAGAAGAAAAGACCTGGAGACCTGTTCCCCTACAGAAAAGGCAGATTCGAAAAAGCGCTGGGCAACCGTCTTCTGTCCCGTGGTGCTGCCATGAGTCGGAATAGATTCAACAACCAACATCAGCCACCCCCCACCTTTGACCCCCCCCTGGGCTTGAAGACTCACTTGAGATAAAATTCCAAACGCGTGCTCTCGCTGGCTTCGAACTTTTCAATCGAGCGGAAATACATTCTGAACGGTCCATTGTCACCGATCATTTTGTCATCATCCGAAGTCAGGTAAATAGTGCGCCAACTTCCTGTATGCTGAAAAGAACAGCCCTAGAAGATGTGTTCCGCGCTCACTCTGCCTTCTCACTCAAAGATCCAGTTTCAAAAGTGCTACCTAGGATAACTGAATCCGAACCGACTGGAAGGCAGTAGGTTGTTGCTAAGCCTTATCAGGGAGCCCTTTGCTCTTTTCTTTTATCATGATTATTTTTTATAATGTAAACTTTTTTTAATATTTATTTTTAAACATCATTTTATTGGGGGCTCCTTACAGCTCTTATAACATTCCATACATTAATTGTATCAAACATATTTGTACATAGGTTGCCATCATCATTTCCAAAACATTTTCTACTTGAGCCCTTAGGATCAGCTCCTCTTTTGTCTCCTCCCTTTCACCCCTGTGAATCCTTGATCAACTATGTATCATTATTGTTATTTTGTATCTTACACTGTCGCTTCACCCACATTTCTGTTATTTGTCCCTTTCAGGTGCAGGGGTGGTGGCTATCTATCCAGTTTTGTGATGGGAAGCCCACATGGAAGAAGTGCACTAGCCTGTACTTGAGGTATCGATGAGATCAGGCAACAGGTATCAAAAGATCCAAAACAAACAACTATATTGATGGAAAAAGAGGAGGGCTGGAGTGGAGACCCAAAGCCCATCTGTAGACAATTGGATACTCCCCCCCCACCCCACAGAAGTGAATAAGGAAGGGATGATTCAATCAAGATGCAGTATAGCACTGACAAATCAGACATCATTCCTCTAGTTCCTGAATACTTCCTCTCCCCCAATACCAGGACCCAGTTCTAACTTACAAATCTGGCTAGACCGGAGAACACACATTGGTATAGATCAGAGCTCTCTACATATGGAATTCAGGAAAGATAAGCCCATCAGGAACAGTAAGGGGAGTAGGGTGAGAAAGGGGAACCCTTTGCTCTTTTCATGGTTACTTGTGAAACAAACAGAAACAAAACCCAGCAACACAACTGTTAGATCATAAAAGCTTTTGATGCCCTTGTGTTATTCAGGGACAAAGCAAAACTATACCAACGAGCATGACATTAAGCCAGACACCATGCTTGCATGTCAGATGGGCAGCTTTGTGATCATTGGCTTATCAACGTGGATACCATTGGTATCAACGTGGATACCATAGTAACTGGGGATCCTTGGTGGCCCTGTTGGGTAAATGTGGGACTGTTGACCACAAGGTTGGCCGTTTGAACCCACCAGTGGATCTGTGAGAGAAAGGGGAGGTTGCTTCTGTCAGAATTGGCTCAAAGGGGGTGGGCTTTGAGCATCGTGTGTCATAAGGTGTTCAGTCACAATTCTGGTGCTTTGAGTTTTGTCAAGGAAAATGGGATTCGGTATTTACTACTACACACAATTATTAAGGAACCCCCAAAACCAACCAACCACACATACACATCCCATCAAGTCAACACAGATCCAACTCATAGCAGCCCCCTGTGGGTGAGAGTAGTCTTGCTCTCCATTTCTAGTGCTCTGAACAGTTCGTCTTGGAAACCCACAGGGGCAGCTCTACCTTGTCCTCTAGGGTCACTATGAATGGGCACCAACTTGATGCAGTGAGTTTTTTGTTTGGTGACCCTTTGGAAACAGATCACCAGGTCTTTCTTCCAAGGCCCCTTTAGGTAAATTCGAACTGTCAACCTTTTGGTTAGTTATGTCTTACTCATGCGTGCTACTCAAGGAGCAGACCAAACCCACTGCCATCAAGTTGCTTCTGACGCATAGCGACTATAAAGGAATTCTGAGATTGTAAACCAATACAGGAACAGACAGACTCATCTTTCTCCTGGGGAACAGCTGGTGGGTTTGAATCTCTGACGCTTTGCTCATGAGCCCAACACCTAATGCACAGCACCCACGGGGCTCCCTAACGAATAACCAGCATCACAAATATTCAAGCATGCTGGCTCATGCCTCCACACTGGTACCTTAATGCCATTATGTGGGTCTTCAAGGTACTCCGCAGCCCAAGTTAGCCCTCCAACAAGAATTAAAAGTAGAATCTCCATCCTGGGGCACGTTATTGCATGCTTTGCTTCAGCAGCTGGGAATTTCCTGCTGGGTAGCAGGCAATCCTGAGTCCTTGGCTGGTCTTTATATGAGTTGGTGTGTGGACGTGGCTCATGAGGACTTGCTCACCAGGGCTCCTGATTATCTGTAATCTTAAAATAACAAAACATGGCATCCAGGTTGCCAGGTCTGAACTTCAAAATGGCATTTCCGAAGTGGATCTGGTTTGGGTAGCTGATCCTTAAGCTAACGCTGCACAGCCGTTACTAAAAGAGATTCCATTTTTCCTGCTTAACATTTAATCCCAAGTAAAGGATGTCGCCAACCGCCACCTGTGTTCTGCGTTTAGGTCGGCTAAGTGAAATGTGTATAGTTTCTTCTTTTGCTCTTCCTTTATTTGCCCTTTGACCTCCTTGAAGTCAAGCTGCAATGATGTCGCTTTATGAGGAAGGGGTGCCTGACCCAAGCCATGGTCTTTTTAACCACCTCCGATGCATGCAAAGGCTGGACAATGAGTAAGGAAGACCAAAGAGGAACTGACGCGTTGGAATTGTGTGTTGATGAAGAATATTGCCTATATCACGAACTCTTGGGAGTCCCTGGAGAAGGATATTGCATTTGGTAAAGAAGAGGGGCAGCAAAGGAGAGGAAGACCCTCAAGGAGACGATTGACACCGTGACTGCAACAGCGGGCTCTAGAATAGGAACAACGATGAGGATGCTCAGGACCTGGCAGTGTTTCATTCCGTTATGCTTAAGATCACCATGAGTGATGCTCACCTTCCCGACACAATCGTCGAAGAAAAATGGGTGTATAAGAAAATGTGGTGAAGAAAGCTGATGGTGCCCAGCTATCAAAAGATATAGTGTCTAGGGTCTTAAAGGCTTGAAGGTAAACATGCAGCCATCTAGCTCAGAAGCAACAAAGCCCACATGGAAGAGGCACACCAGCCTGTGTGAGCACGAGGCGTCGAAGGGATCAGG